TATCCTGTGTCTATTCATATATAGTTTTACGACTGTATCGCATAATTCTATTTCAAGACCAGGCAAGACACTTTAATTCGCTAGGCTTTAATACTGACCAAATTCAAACAAATATATACGATATCCGGTCACATGCTGACCACGCTAATAAACTCGACTGAAACTATATATAAATGTACTTCGGGAGTTAGAACCCCGCCAGTAAGCGCGTACAAACGTAATACTTTGCTCTTTTAGGAGAGCATACTGCAGGGCCATTTTTTTAACTGTTGCTCTGCAAGTAAGTGCAAGTTTTATTGATTAAAATCCTCGATACGCAATTCAGAAGGTCTGCTCGTGTGTGGTAATGTCGCACAATACGTCGTACTTGCTCAACACTTGATTTGCATGGGCTTTTATTGTGCTCATTAGTGGGTTATGCCAATTCTGTATTTAGCTCAAACCTTTCCCCTTCAGTAAATGATGCGAAGACACGGAGCATCGTACGCTTCGCTCGAAACAGAGTTCCCAATCAAGGTGCATATACAGTGCGCGTACCAGTCCAGAGCTGTGTGTGGTTGTAGTTGATACCCTCCATATGCTGTCTGGCTAGTCTGTAGAGGTTATGTGCCCGCTATGTCTAAGGTCATCGGACCATCATGCCTTAGTAGTAAACTGTTCCCGGATGTATCGGCCCTAATTTAGTCCCACACATACTGTAGCACTGGCCAGTCCGTTACGGACAGCCCAAGCAACCGTTCGCTTTTTTTTTCTAGCATCACCTAGAAGTGCTCTACGTCTCTCTGATATGCCCTCCACTGGGCAGCTGTGACGCTCAGGAGAGGGGCTCCCCTACATTACGTTTACTCCCTCACCTCTTACATACTACATACGAATACGGGAGAGCAGGCGACCCTGTACGCCTGATGGTTTGTGGCTATTATCCACGGCATTGCGAGAAGAGGTTGTGCTGATGGCGTGTTATGGTTCTCCCATGGGACTAACTACAGTCTCCTTCACGGGTGACACATAGTGAGTGGGTAGTATAGCTAGTCTCCGTTTAACTATCTTTCATAGTGAGTGGATGGTATAGTTAGTCTCCGTTTAACTATCTTTCACAGTGAGTGGGTGGTATAGTTAGTCTCCATTTAACCGTCTCTCATAGTGAGTGTGTAGTATAGTTAGTCTCCATTTAACTATCTCTCATAATGAGTGTTGTAGTATAGCTAGTCTCCATATAACTATCTTTCATAAAGAGTGGGTAGTATAGCTAGTCTCCGTTTAACTGTCTTTCAAGATCTGCATCCTAAACCTTTTTATTTCCTATCTTAACACCACTTTGAAGCGCTCTAAACTAGTCCGAATCCCTTTCCGTTCTCGATCGCAACACTAATCCGATCTTTGAGCTTGGCGTAGGTACTGTATTCCGGCAGTAACAGCCGCGAGAAACAGGTCAGGGCGGTGGGTAAGCGGTCGGAATCAGGCCCGTTTCGCTGGATGATGAATGTCATGTTTGCTAACCCGTTGATGGGCACACGGTCCGATCCTGAGTGGGAGAGGGCAGGGCAGGGCATGAGCATGTGAACCTCATTGTGAGCAAGGCTTGAGACGTTGTGGTTGTGGGTGGTTTGAGACGTGGTGGCTGTGGGTGGTTTGAGACGTGGTGGTTGTGGGTGGTTTGAGACGTGGTGGTTGTGGGTGGTTTGAGACATGGTGGTTGTGGGTGGTTTGGACGTGGTGGTTGTGGGTGGGTTGTCCGGTTGTTTCTGGTTCTGTATCCAACAGAATGCGAATGCGATGCGGTTTACAATTTATGATCAATCTTATTTTTCTGCATAGCCACATCTGGTTTATGATCGGTCCAGACTTCAAACTCACGACCGTGTATGTAACTAGTGTATGGCCATGTTTAAACCCGCAAGTTTCCGCTCTGTTACTCATCCGGGCCTTCAAAGAGCAAGCAGCATAATTGTAGTAGAGTGCAACACTGGCGATATACAAGCCATGACACTTGCCACAACATATCTCCCACCACTCACACCCTCCTACACCACACATACCCGATACAAAGTTCAGCAACTCAGCTGTTTGTTCTTGTCCTCGTCCAAGCCCTCTACGAGCACAACCAGAACCATTGGATCACAAGACAATACATACACTACACCCATAGCAGTACACTACACACAGTACTACACCACACACATAGTACTACACTACACTTAGTACTACACTACACACATAGTACTACACTACACACATAGTACTACACCACACATAGTATTACACTACACATAGTACTACACAACACATAGTACTACACTACACCCATGACACCCCATACAACAATCCCTTCTCACATCCCAATCACCCCCTCCTACGCCACACATACACATACCCGTTACAAAGTTCAGCAGCTGCTTCTTCTTGTCCTCGTCAAAGCCCTCCACGAGCAGCCAGAACCACTGAATCACCACACAGTCTCGCGTGTAGCCGTCGTCGTACATTGCGTTCTCCTGCAGTGCCGTGAAGTCCAATTCAGGCGACCCACAGATCAGCAACTCCAGCTCTTCGGGTATGCAAAGGTCGAGTGTTTTGCCTGCAGACAGGGGTAATGGGGGGTGAGTGCTAGAGTGCGAGCAGCCGTATGTTTGACGGATTCATACACCCAAAGATGTGTATACATATAGACGTGCTTCGACATATGACTTCGACATATATGTATATGTATATGTATATGTATATGTATATGTATATGTATATGTATATGTATATGTATATGTATATGTATATGTATATGTATATGTATATGTATATGTATATATATATATATATATAATATGTGTATATGATTGTGCTGAGTATCGGGTACTGTCGGGGGGATGCCCCGAAGTCCAGGACAGGTCATTTTCAGAGTAGTTGTTCTTGGGTTGATTATTCATTGACTGAGTACTCAGTCTGCCCAAATATCATATATTGGGACTCAGTTGTTATCTGGAGCTTTTATTAAATTGGTCAATACTTAATAATTATTTGTAAAAAACGGGTGGGCGGGAGATGCGAACTGGATAGGGACCGTGAGCCAAGCAGGTGCTATGGAAACGGGCTCATATCCCATCGAACACGCGCCAGAAACATTGCATTTATCAGTGCCTTGATAGTTATACCCACATATATCGAACTACCATGTCTTTGGCATTATGCACACAATCCTCTCACGAAACATTTGCACGAGATAAAGCACATTGCTATCTCAAGCACAAGTATTTCATGAATATGAAACCACCACTTCAACTGCAAGATACACACCACCACACAGGTTCTAACCCCCTCGCCAATTGACAGCAGCAACTTTGAGCACATGCTCGTTATAAGCAAGCACCACATTTGTAGCAACACACCAACCACCAAGCAAGCAACATGTACACGCCCTGTTCTAATGATACAAACAAATACCATTCAAAGGACGAAACAACTGTTATATGAAAACCACCATTGAAATGGGTGCTCGACCTCTATTTCCGCTCAGAGTTCGTAGTACTCATATACCAGTCTTTTGGTTGCCAGCGAGTTCTCCTGTCTACACAACGATGCACTGGCGTATGACAGCACACATAGTCATACAGCAGTCTGTTGATTGCCGCAGAGTGCACGTGCATACATAACTGAGTATATACACAAACGATGCACTGGCGTATTACAGCACACATACCCCCGCACATGCGATGGAACCCCCGCGAGAAGGACTCGAATTGCTTGGCCACACTCTTGTTCAAGAGCCAGTCGACGTACAGCGCTACAAATTCTTTGCGGTTGTCATTGGTTACCGGAATGTCGCCGCCGTTGGGTTTGAGATCTATGGGCTTTGTCGTACCGTACTGGAATGAAGTGTGCGCGCATAGATTAATGCGCATTTGTAGATCAATGTGCATGGGTATTGATTGACCTAATAATGTTCATAAATTAATGTGCATGTGTATTGATTGATCTAATAATGTGATTAATGTGTATATTCGTGGATTAATGTGCATGTGTATTCTTTGATCTAATAATGTTCATAAATTAATGTACACGTGTATTGATTGATCTAATAATGTGATTAATGTGTATATTCGTGGATTAATGTGCATGTGTATTCTTTGATCTATTAATGTTCATAGATTAATGTGTATATCCGTGGATTGATGTGCATGTGTATTGATTGATCTCATAATGTTCATAGATTAATGTGTATATCCGTGGATTGATGTGCACGTGTATTGATTGATCTAATAATGTTCATAGATTAATGTGTATATTCGTGGTTTAATGTGCATGTGTATTGATTGATCTAATAATGTTCATAGATTAATGTGTATATTCGTGGATTAATGTGCATGTGTATTGATTGATCTAACGATACTCATAGATTAATGTGTATATTCGTGGATCAATGTGCATGTGTATTGATTGATCTAATAATGTTCATAGATTAACGTGTATATACTTTAGATCAATCTACAATGTTTATTTATTAACACGTGTTGATAAATTACTGAGCATATGTGCATTTATTCACCTGATAATGTTCATTGATTCGCGTGTTTTCATAGACGCATGGCGGATTGGTGTAGCGTGCGTACTGTGGTGCAAAGTGTGTATACGGTATACCGAACTTTTCACATGTAGTTTATATAAATACAACTGATATACTTGTTTATCTGCAGGTACGAAACGCGTACTAAAAGGCGAACTAGAATTGTTTTCTCATTCTTTAAAAACCCTGTCTATAAATCGGCACCATGTACCTACTACACTGCAGGGTGTATACAACAGGCGTTGGGTCATTAATTAAAAAAAAAGTGGTTTAAGAGTCCATATTGCGGTGTACTGGAATGCACTACCTAAACCCTAAACCCCAAATACCCACATATTGTTAAGATGTCATCTGTACAAATAAAAGCTAAGAATTCTCGATACCACATAGCGGTTCTTGCATACTCTGAGAACTGTAGCAGAGGATACCCTCCGTTTTCTGACCAATTCTGATGCTAAAAAACTCGCATTGCACACGCACACATATATATATATACACACACACACACACACATATATATATATATATATA